TCTTTTCAGTTGACGATAATTTTCCTGCAACGACTTTTTTCGCGCGATTGGTGTTAAGTGCAACAAAATATCCGTTCCTCTGTAAATAACAAAAGGTAAGTCGTGCAATTTTTTTACCATTTATAGTTTTTGAGTGTAATTTAGCATTTACGTGTGAATTTCATTGATCAATGGTCAATTCAAGTGATATTCGGCTTATAAACTATGTGGGAGATATACTCCCATTGCCCAATTGTGTCACTTTATTTTGTTACGAGCCCTTAGGAAAATTTGACCAATTTCATTATTTTTATTTTTACAGAATGTAAAAATGTCTCAAAAAAATCCGTTACATGATGACGCAATTGCGAAGGAGCTGCAAGCATTGTTGGAATCTTCTGAAGATGAAGAGGAAATACATAACTTTAGTTTAGGTGACCCAAGTCTATCTTTAGATGTGAACTGTGCTTTAGACAGAATCCAAAGTATCTCATATGAAGAACTTCTGGACACCCTAGATTCTTCAGCAGAATGTGATAACCAAATTCAGACAAATGTGGAGTGGGTTCAAAGTCCATGGACTGAAGATGATTGAGTTTCTTTCTTTTTATTTTTCTTTATATTCAATAGTTTATTGCTTTGTTATTGTTTCAAATATTTGATATAATGTTGATTTCATAAAAAGTACTTAATTTAAATGGAAATAAAACTAATTTCGAAATTGATGTTTTAATTTAATAATTTTTTGATGTGAAATTGCAAAACATGTGACGTCACACTAGGGCGAGGGGGTCTCAAAAATGTGACCACCTGTGACATGGACGGGGGAGGGGCTCAAAAACCATGAAATTCGTGTGACGTACTTTATGGATGGCCCTTAAAGGTTAAGAATAGAACTTATTTTTTTTAATGCAATTCCTAACAGTGGTAGTTATGTGCTGATAATTAGCTCGCTCTATGCTATTAATTGGGGCAATGGTGCCAGTAAATGGTGGGAGACCCATTTTTTATTCTTACTTGTCCAAAAAATCTTGGACAGAGGTCAACCATGTTTAATTTTCTTTTTAAAACGTCTTCCTTATTAAATATTGGAACTATAAAATTTGCCTTAACGGGTAAATAACTATTTTTCACAAAAATAAATAGGCTTAAATTAGGACCAAATAAATAAATAGAAATATAAAAAAAAATAAGCACCAACTCTTAAAGTGCTGATAATTAGGTACTTCACCAATAAATTAATAGACTTTGTTTAACTTTAAATTAGACCACCATGAACTTGGCAATATTTTAACAATTTTCCACAATTAAACAACAATGTGATTTAACGGTTTTTGTTCTAACGCTCCTCAAGTGTCACAGGCTGCTAGAACAGAAGAACAATCTTTACTGACAATTATTATACAAGCGTCCCGCTAGCATACAGACAACGACGCCGAAAAACCCATCTTGTTGGTACTCTCAGATCCAACCGAAAACATCTACCAAAAGATGTCATTGCCGGTAACCTGAAAAGAGGGGTAATGAGCTGGAAGCAAACCAAAGATCGAATTGAGGCCGTCAGCGCAAAAGTGGCCTAACCCACGTTTTTTCATAATCATACTTTTCTATTGCAATTTATTTAAAATATTTTAATTTTTCATGCAAAACTGGCCTATCCCTAATTTCATCTATGGATAGCAGATGGCGTTGTAAACATTCTTTTTGCACCTGCGACGCAGTGTAAAGGTGGCCTAACCGAGCTTAGGCCACTTTCGCATTCTGGCAACATTTGTTGTTTTGGCGGGTTAGGCTGACAGCTGTCGTCGAAACGTCATAATTTATTTTTCCTGCTCAAACTAACTGCTAAAACGGACTTTCGTTGGTAGCAGTGAAGGTTACGCACGTGCTTTTGTCGTTTTCCTACGTTCGTAGTAAATTTTAGTGATTTCACTCACAGTGTACTGATTTGAAATCTTTTAATATTGTGTTGTCGTGTTGTCTAATTGTGTGTGTAAGTTTTAATTAGTTATTGGTCGTTTAACGTAAATTTAATCACTTGTTTCCTCTTCCCACAACTTAATCTCCGAAATGGACGAGGAGAAACCACCTGACCCTCCCGATAAATCACCGGAATATGAATCCATATTAACTATTACCCTACCTCCAAACTCCCCGCAATTTGAAATTATGGATTTAGAGGGTACTAACACTAGGAAACGACCTGCTGGCTCCCCTCCTATCTCCCAGAACAATCCCCCAAAGTTGGCCAAAAATGTATACGGTAGACAGTGTTACACAGCCAGGGATAACCCTCCCTATGTCGTCTACGTATCCCTTAAGGACTCCCAGACGTCTGGCACCACGCTACACCCGGTTAAATTTGGTATGTTTCTAATGAAACACAATATTAACAATGTAAAAATTGGTGGTGTGGGAAGAAATAGAGTCTCAGTCGAGTTTGTGTCGCACCAAGATGCAAATAGTTTCTTGGTGAATGGTATGGTGGCCCAAAATTATGTGACTTCAATCCCACAATTCAATATTACCCGAATGGGCATTGTGAGGGACGTTCCTGTAGAATGGACAGAGGACGAAGTTATTGGCAACATCAGAGTTCCCACCGGTTGTGGGGCTGTAATAAAGGCTAGGAGGATGAACCGCAGAATCACATCAACCAACGGTACTGAATGGAAGCCCACCCAAACCGTGGTGCTTACCCTTGATGGTCAAACCCTTCCTAAAAAAGTATTTTGTTACTATTCAGCGCTTCCGGTAGAATTGTATTCATACCCTACCATACAGTGCTATCATTGTTGTCGTTTTGGACATACCCGCACTCTTTGCCGCTCAAAGCCGCGTTGTTTCAGATGTGGTCAGGATCATCCAGGTGACGGATGCCAGATTCCAATCGAGATTGCTCATTGTATTAATTGCAATGGCAATCACTTTGCTAACGACAAAGCTTGTCCTGAATTGGGACGCCAGAAGAGCATCAAAGCATTGATGGCGGAAAAATCAATCTCATATACGGAAGCAAGCCAAGTTTTCCCAACCGTTAAAAGGTCTTATGCTGAGGTCTCAAGAGCAGTCAACCTTATAGACTCATCTCCTAGTAAAAAACCATCCCAACAAAGAGTATCCCATAAGAAAGCAGTTTACCTCAAACCTAAATCACATGCTCCCCTTTCTCCTAGCTATGATAAGAAGGCCCATCAGGCCCTTATCCATGACTACTCCTTCTCCCCATGTAAAAATGGTTGCGCTTTCCCTGTGGAATCCGGAACCAACACTCGTAGTTCCAAGAACATTTTAAATATAGTTTCTAATATGTTAATGGCAGTACTAGCAAACTCTGCCCAAAATGTACCTGACCACGTTGCACACAAGCTTTCTACAATTCTAGATTATATCTGTAACATTCCATCCTCTAACACTGCTTCAGTGGAACGTGAGGAGTACTCTTCCCAGGAAGAGTGACTTACTCCATTTGATTAATAAATTTAAACCAACAATTTGTGGCATTGCTGAGACATGGCTTCATCCGAATATTCATTTCGGGATCCCGTGTTTCAGTGTTGTCAGACATGACAGATCTGATGGTTATGGAGGGTGTGCTTTGTTAATTAATAACAAAGTGCCCTTCACCCAGATCCCTCAACCCTTCGTTGGCGATGACATAAATGTTGTCGCTGTTATGGCTGAGGATATAAATATATTCCTATTTTACATTGCTCACACTCATGTTGACCACATTATTTTAATTAAAAATTTGCTAACCTTGGTAAGTGGTCCATTGCTGGTAATGGGTGATTTCAACTGCCACCATTATAGATGGGGCTCAGAAGTATGCGATAATATAGGTAATGAATTGGTAGAGATGCTGGACGAACTCGAATTGTGTGTCATCAATGATGGCAGCCCTACTCGTAGGTCTGCATTTGGACAAAGAAACAGCTGTGTGGACTTGACCTTTTGCTCACCTTCTATGACTGGCGTGCTTAACTGGAGTTGTTTAAGGTTGACCTATGGTAGTGATCACTATCCCATCATAATTAAACACCCGTCAAAATCCATTCAGGATAGACCCCTCCCCCCCTTATTAAAATATCGTTTGAATTCAGCGGACTGGGATCTTTATTCCAAATTATTAGACTATCGTATTTCTTTCCTTCCACCAATTAATTCCGAGAATGCTCTGGAGTGTTTCTCAAAATTCTCCGATCTGATAACCTCCACAGCTGAAGATTGTTTTCCGGTGAAAGATGCACCGAAAGGCAAAATCCCTTCTCCCCCATGGTGGGATAGTGAATGCACTGCCATGATAAGAGCTAGGAATGAGGCTGAAAAGACATATAACCAAGATATGAACCTGGAAAACCTCATAAATTTCAAACGAATTTTGGCTAAGTCAAGGAAATTATTCAAAAAAAAGAAGAGACAAGGGTGGCAAAGATTTTGTGGTTCCCTGAGCCCAGTGTTGCCAGATGTACGATTTAAATCGTATTCATACGATTTTTTACATTTATTTTGCATGTACGATCCAAGGTCAGAAATCGTACGTAAACATACGACTTTTTTAGATTTCATACAACCAAAGTAGGGGAGCGCGGGGCTGGTTTTAACGGAGGTAAGTATTAACAAGCTTATTCCCGCCAAACGCGAAGTGTCAAAAGAATGATACTCGGTTTAGAATACCCTATAAACACAGCCGATCGTGTCCAGACTTGTCAGTGTTCGACCGGCCGTCGCTAGTGATAGTTGTGCACAGGACCCTCGGATTTACAGGTTAGCGAACTTTTTGTACTTCGTAATAAATTGATTTTTTATTCACTAAATTGAATCAAACTTTATCTTAATTTAATCTCTATTCTATAGACTTTAAAACTATAATAATTGTTTGTAATTATTCTTACTAGATTATTTTCTGTAATTGATGAAGTATAAAAAATGATCTTGGGGCTAAAATTAACAATTTGAAACATATGTAGGTGTTTGATATTAAACGATTATTTTGTGCAATAACTGTGTTTTGTTATAGGATGAGAAATTACAAAAGGAAGACCGCACGAGGTTCCACGTCTCAAGAAGTATTTGAGCTGGCAGCCGAAGAAATTATAACAAATAATAGAAAATTTAGAGATGTTGCTGCGGAGTATGACATCTGTCATGTAACACTGTACAAATACGTAAAGAAAAAAAAGGAGGGGATTACTGTTGATGTGGGTTATAAAAAAAATCGTCTCGTTTTCAATCTTGACCAAGAAAAAATGATAGCAGATTATTTAGTGAAATGTTCTAATATCTATTTTGGATTGCTACCAGATGATGTCAAAAAATTAGCTTATGAGCTAGCCATTGCATACAAAATAGATAATATTCCAGAATCTTGGAAAAGAGACGGAAAGGCTGGCAAAGATTGGTACGCTGGTTTTATGAAACGCAACGCATCCTTGTCTATTCGGAGTCCTGAGGCGACAAGCTTAAGCAGAGCAACATCATTTAACCGTACAAATGTTCATTCATTTTTTGAAAAATATCGAGAAGTTCTTCAACGATACAATATATCTCCGAGTAGAATCTGGAACGTAGATGAGACGGGAGTGACGACGGTGCAGAAACCCAAGAAAGTGGTAGCTCAACGAGGTTCCAAGCAGGTAGGAGCTGTTACGTCTGCGGAACGGGGTACTCTCGTCACAATTGCGGCAGCGGCAAATGCTATTGGTAATTTCATACCATGTATGAACAAACCAATATTTCCACGGATCAGATACAGTGATTTATTCATCCAAAATGGACCACCCGGGTGTGTTGGTCTAGGAAATAGTTCCGGGTGGATGTCAGAAAAAGAATTTTCGAAATTTATTGACCACTTTTTGAAACATGTTAAAACATCAGAGCAGGAACCAGTTTTATTGTTTTTGGATAACCATCATTCTCATGTCAATGTGGAAGTCGTCACGAAGGCAAAGAACAACCATATCATTCTTTTGTCTTTCCCACTACATTGTTCTCACAATCTCCAACCACTGGATGTCGGTGTGTATGGACCGTTTAAGAATTATATTAGCCGGCAGCAAACGAACTGGATGGTTAATCATCCTGGGAAGACAATGACCATCTACGATCTCCCTGGCATTGTGAAAGAAGCATTTCCTCTGGCATTCACTCAAAACAATATCATCAACTCGTTTAAAAAAGCTGGCATTTGGCCGTGCAATGAAGATGTATTTCAAGACTGTGACTTTGCACCATCATTTGTAACTGATCGTCCCGATCCAAATACTGCTTCGATGGGAAACCAGGGATCACTTCAGCCAGGAGATAGTTCTGTCAATCCAGAAGAAGTATCACTTAATCTAGAATCTTCAATTCAAAATGAAATTTTAGATAACATGCCTGACATTCACATAAGTATTTCAGAGGTAATTGATCAGCTATCGCATGTTCCTTCTAATGAGCCGGGACCATCAGATAAGCATCGACTATCGAGTGAACCAGGACCTTCAAATATATCAGCATCGCCAAATAAACCAGGACCGTCAAATGATCCAGGACCATCAAAGAATCCTACAGAAAAATTTAATATAGAAACAGTAAGACCCCTTCCAAAAGCTCCTCCACGAGTCGAATCTAAACGAAAGCGTTCAAAGAAATCCACTATTCTCACTGATACTCCCGAAAAATTGGCCTTAGAGGAAGAAGAAAAATTAAAATCATCTAAAAAGAGAAAAACTAGTCAGACTGAAATTAAAAATAAGGGTAAAGGGAAAGGTAAAGGTAAAGGTAAATCAACCCGGCGAGTAGAAGTAGAAAAGGTGAAGAACCATATTCTTCAGGATGACAGTGAAGAAGATACCTGCTGCTGTTTAGTTTGCGCTGAGTCTTATAATGACGATGCATCTGGACTTGACTGAATACAATGTATTTCATGCAAAGGATGGGCTCACATTACCTGCATTAAGGGTGATATCAGAAAATACATATGCCTCAACTGTTTCTCAGATGATGAGTATTCTGATTAATTTTTGACAAAAACAAACTATACAGGCACCCATTTCTTGTCTACTTTTAAGTACAAATTAGATAAAGATCATTTGAACTAGTGTAACTTAAAGACTGATACTAAAAAGTATTATTTAACGCTGTTAGAACGCTTGTTTAAATACTTAATTGTTTAAGGTAACATTTAGATTCTTTAAAACTGTTGATACTTACCAAAAACTTTATGCGACTGATTACGTAATACTTAATTGTTAAGCTTAAACTATTTCAATTAATGTTTCTAGGCTTAAAAGCTTTAATACTCAGTAGATATGGTGTTTAATTAGTATTGATTGATAAAAACTTTAAAGATTGATTATGAAAACTTTAGTAACTTTAAAACGTATAGTTTAATTTGTTGTTAACTTGTTTATATATTTTTAATATATATATTATCTATAATACAATATTTTTGTTTGAGTAAATGATGTTTTATTTAAGTATTTCCTAAAAAAATTGTCTCTGTTAATAATTGCCCCTTACGTTAAAACGTACCCCAGCTCCATTAATATTTGCCCCAAATGCGGGGCACATATTAACAAATGACTTTTTTGGTTTTGACGGCTCTCTTTCTAAAAGCACTTACATACCGAATGTATTTTGCTACTAATATCATAGCTGAATAACCAAAGCATGTTTTCAATTAAAAATTAAACTAAAAAATTCGTTACCAAAGAAAATATAAACTATAATACAAAATTTGTTAGAACCAGCCCCGCCCTCCCCTACTAATACCAATATAGCACGTCACTATTTATTCTTTTACTTACTAAATACCAACCCTTCACATCACTAGTTAGTTAGATTTGTCTATGGTTAGGGGACTTCCCTTAGATCCCAATGGTACACGTTACGTTACTCGGAAGTATTTCATACATTCAATATTTAGTTAAGTATTTAAAGTTAAAGTGTGAAAGTTTTTAATCATGGAGGATGAAGATTCAACATCTAATCCAGGCCCAAGTCGCCCTTGCCCTGGAACTCCAAAAAAGACTCTGGCGAGACGGAATGAGTTATCGAGGGATCAAAAAGAAAAACATAGGGCTCAGAAATACTGCGCCGATTGGGAAAATCTTGAAGTTTTCAAGCATTGGCTGAAACCCGGCAAAAGTGCATACAAAGCAAAATGTATTGTATGTGATTGTGAATTATTATCCGAGTATAGTGTATTAAAAATCCATTCCACTAGGCAGAAAAACCTTAAAGCTCTGTCTAATGCTAAAATTGCAAACAAGCAACGTAATTTGATGACAAATTTTGTCACTGAAAATCCTGTTGGGAAAAATAAATTGGAATCTAAAATAGAACTACAGCTATCAGCTTTTATCGCCGAACACAATATTTCTTACAATTCTATCGATCATCTGACTGATATTATCAATGATATATTGCATGACTTTGATGTCAAACATAAAATTTCTCTGAAGAGAACGAAGGCAACTGCAGTGACAACGGAAGTCATCGGCAAAGCAGAAAAGTCAATGTTGACTAGTGTTTTGACTACACAAAAGTTCAGTACTATATGCGATGAATCAACGGATATTAGCACTCAGAAAGCTTCGTGTATAGTTGTGCGATATTTTGATAAGGACAAGAAGCAAGAAGTCCTTAGTAAAATGTGGGAACTGTGCAAGGTATTTGACTCAGAAAACCCTGATATGGTCAACCAAGGTGCCACAGGTGAGAATTTGTACAGAGTTATGACTCAGTCTTTTTTGGATAAGAACATCCCGCTAGATAATATGATTGGATTTGCCGCCGACGGCTGTAATGTGATGATGGGTGAAAATAACAGTGTTGCCAGCAGGCTGAAGGAAAATTTACCAGGTATCTTCATATTAAAATGTGTATGTCACTCGGCTCACCTGTGCGCATCTGAAGCATGCAAAGAACTTCCTCGAAGATGCGAAGACTTGGCACGAGAAATTTATAATCGTGGTTACAAGAAAAATTAATTTCAACGGAGATAATCTTTCAGAACTTGAATGACAATTTCATGAAATTATATTACAAGTTTCTGGCGTGGATTTTGCCCAAGTTCACTGCATTTAATAAATTATTCTAGTCAGATAGTGCTGTAATAATCAATCTTAATGAGAAAGTTCGGGACATCTACCGCGATATTTTGTTATGTTTTATGGAGAGAGAATATATTAACAGAACTGAACTTTCTTCTGTTAATATAGATTACCAAGAAAAATATCTTGCCGACCGCCAAATGTATTTGGGTATAAAAGTAATGAACGATGTAACAAGTGAGGAGTTCACTAGCCACCCACAAAAGTGCACAGAGTTTTTCCACCGTTGCCGCAAGTTTTTAATAACAAGTGCTCATGAAATAAAAAAACGGTACAACTTGAATGATCCTGTATTATCAAAATTGGAGGCTATCCATCCTACCAACGCTATGTCCGAATCGTACAGGAACAAAGTAAGTAATTTGTTACCTCTAATGAACATTGTGTCTCGGATTATAAGCGGTGACATAATGCAAAATGTTGATGACGAATGGAGAAGATTGCCCACGTTTATAAACCAAGTTGATATGACTCTTCCACCAGACGAATTTTGGGCAGGAATTTGCGCTTTTGAAGATTTAAAAAATATAGCTAAATTTGCTCTGGACTTATTATGCCTTCCGCACTCTAACGCAGATTGTGAACGCTGCTTCAGTTCAGTCAATCTTACAAAAACAAAAATCCGAAACAAGCTGAGCAATGAACCATTAAATGGCACCCTTTTAGCCAAACAGCATATTAAGCGTTATGGGTGTTGTGTGGATTTTTCTCCAACACGAGAAATGTTAAATAACATGAATAGTAAAACCCTTTACGGGGATAAATGAAGACTTACAAGGAGTGTTTTAATTGATTACTTACTTTAAACTGTCAAATACCAAGCGGTCACCGGTGACCGCAACCTATTGTTCTATAATTGTGTCTGCAAAACCGGTACTCGACGAGTTAATATAATAAAACAAAGGTTTTGAAAACGTACTACTTTTTTGTAGCCTTCTTAGGGAATACGACTTTTTATTTACCCATCGTACGATCGCCCATTCAAAACGTCTGGCAACACTGCCTGAGCCCATCCACACCAATATCTACAGTTTGGCAGAGTTAAAAATATCAGGAACTCCACCAGACCTCCCACTATCTCGACCTTACCCGAACCTCTGAGAAACAGATTTTTAAACAGTATTGCTCCAGCGTATGTTCCCAGTTTAGATGAATGCTGCCAGAGATCCTATGAGAAATCGCATGATCCACTTGATTTGGAGTTCTCATATGAAGAGCTCCAAACAGTACTTAACCATGTGAAGGACTCGGCACCAGGGATTGATGGGTTCCCTTACTCCTTCCTATCTAAGGCTGGAACTAAAACAAAACAATACTACCTTGACTTGGTCAATTTTTGCTTTACTTCAGGCTATATTCCTCCTACTTGGAAGGTTCAGGTTATAATGCCGCTGTTGAAAGCTGGCAAGGATCCTGGTGATCATTCCTCCTACAGACCTATTGCTCTATCGTCCATACTTATTATAACTTTTGAACACCTCATAAAAAACCGCCTTGAATGGATGGTTGAAAGCCGGAGGCTGCTTCCGGCGACTCAGTTCGGCTTCAGGAAAGGTCTGGGTACGGCTGACTGTGTGGGGACCCTCACGTCAGCCGTCCGACTGGCCATTAGCAGGCAGGAGTCGTTGGTCGCGGTCTTCCTGGACATCTCAGCGGCCTATGATTCTGTCCTCTTACCCCTTCTCAGGCAGAAACTGCAAGAGCTGAGAATCCCGAGTGGGATTTGCCGAATTATAGGCTGTATCCTCTCCAATCGTACCCTTCAACTGAGAACTTCTGAGGAGAATCCAGTACAGAGGTCCTCCTGGAAAGGTTTACCTCAGGGGTCAGTCCTTAGTCCTATCCTTTATAACATATATACCTATGACCTCCCCTCCTGTTTAAATTTTAACTGTAATGTCCTTCAGTATGCTGACGATATCGCACTAATGGTCACCAGCAGCTCTATAACAGACGCCGCCCACTCCATCAATGTCTCTTTGTCCTCATTAAACCAATGGCTGCTTAATCACGGGTTATCTTTAAGTGCTCCTAAAAGCTCAGCTGTCATTTTTACACGCAAACGGCGCACTCCGGATCTTCGTATAGAGATGGACGGTCAGGCTATCTCGATCAAAAGCAGTGCTAGATTCTTGGGAGTCTATCTCGATTCAAAGATGTCTGGGGTGGATCACATAAACAGCGTGGTTGCAAGGTGTGAACGCTCAATATCGATTCTCCGAGCTCTAGCCGGGGTGCGTATTTCCATATCCGTGTACATTAGGAGGCAGTACTGCCTTGAAACACGCACGGGTTTGTCGCGCTAACTGCCCTTACAATAACGTATTCAATTCAAGGCACACGTCCTCCAATCACGCACGGGTTTGAAACGCCATCAGGGTGCTTACTCTTGAAACCAATCTCAATGTCAATCCAATTTCAATCCAATAAAATCTCAATAATTATTCAATGTCAAAACTATACACCCCCCATCGTAGCTGTTAAAATAGCATTTAGAGTACGGTATATAAAGCCAAACTCAATACCATTTAGTTCATTTAATATCCACGCAATACGGATGCAATGGGCGCTAGTGTTGCAACTCAAGAGTACGAAATTTCGCAATACCAATGTCGATCGATCGGAATTGGATTCAAGAGTAAGCCACCTGTTCTTCCAAACACGTGTTCAAGACGATGCATGGAAATTAGCCATGAAGTTCGCGCGTAAACAACTTCGTTCGCGTCTCGCCACTCCGCCTGTCACATAATGACATGACATTCGTTTGTTTTTTCACCGTGCAGCGTTTGAAATAAACGTGTAATATTAACAAACTTATCTTGTGATGGTGATAAATAAATAAAAAAGCTAAAGTCAAATGGTACTTCTTAGGTTTGTCGAGAAATAACTCGAGATAAACCATTGAACATTTTGAGGTTATGGTAATAAAGTGTGTTCCGATTAAACATGGAACTATTGAAGAATATACTTAGTGGTATTGTGGACAATTTTGAAGTCGTAAAATATGATGGAGACAATGATAATTATCAATGTAAAATTCGATGCTCTTTATCTTGTGAAGGTGATTACGACAAAAAGTGTGGTTATTTCATTGAAAAATTTTCGGAGGCAACGCAAACAAATTGGATTATGTTAAGACGATATGCTCAGCAGGTACGATATGATTTCAGAAAAGTATTTATTTGTCATCTTTCGGAAAGGAACAAAACCAAAGATAAAAAGAAAGGTGTGACTAGAAACTATAATTGTAAAGCAAATATTGGGATAAAATTTATAAAAGTTACAAAGAGTACGATAAAAAATTCACAACTCATGAAAAGGGGATTGAATGTTCTAATAGAGATAAACTATAATCATTCCCACCGAGTCAATGTCGCCCAAGCACTGAGTCTACTGCGTTGTTCCGATGATACGATAAAACAATTCGAATCGTATTTTGAAGGTGGGATGACAGCTGCAGCAGCAAAATTGTATCATGAAATAGCTATCATTGAAGGATGTGAGAAGAATGCTTACATTACTTTAGCTAATGCACAAAAAACTCCATGCGACCGCCAAGTTATTCATTTGTATGAACAATGGCGTCGCCGAACCTACGGATCGCGAGACATCGATGATATAATTGAAATTTTAAAACGAAAGAAGATTGAGTTGTCCAAAATAAATGTAGACATTTATATCAAGGAAGAACCAACTGTGTGTGTTGTAATAACACCTATTATGCAAAGAGTGTTCAAGGCTGGATTGGCTGATGAAATGGTGTTTATGGACACAAGTGGATCTTGTGATCAAACAAATACTTGTGTTACATTTATCTTTGCTGCAACGAAAATTGGTGCTTTACCTATTGTTGTAATTTTGCACACGAGTCAATCTCAGGAGAATTATACACATTCTTTTCAATCTGCTAAGGATTATTTAGAGGAGACTTGCCAGAAGGTTTTTCAACCAAAAATCGTAATGACTGATGACAGCAGCGCAGAAAGGAATGCCTTACGCACAGTATTACTTCTTACAGCAGATTACTTCTTTGCATATTTCATGTAAATCAAGCTCTTTCAAGGCATGTGGAAAATCCGCACTTGATGCGAGAAGATAGATCCCAGTACCGGTTCAAAGTGAAAATGTGGACCGGTATTCTCTGTGGGAATATTATTGGTCCATTTGAGATGCCCGAGAATTTGACTGGCGAATCATATTTAAATTTTCTTCAAAATGATTTGCCAAACTTACTAGAAGAGACCCCACCAGATATGTGGTTCCAACACGACGGCTGTCCAGCACATTTTCGCGTATCCGTTAGATAGTTTTTGGACGAACAATACCCGAACAGGTGGATTGGGCAATCAGGAACAATCCCGTGGCCAGCCCGCTCACCTGACTTAAATCCGCTGGATTTTTTTTTCTGGGGAACTATGAAGGAGCTCGTTTATGCGAAGCCCATTAATGACATCGCTGACCTTCGTGAGAAGATAACACAAGCAGTGCAGGTGATACGTCAAAAAAGTTACTCGCGAAACATAAAGCGGTCCTTTTTAAGGAGAGTGAGAGCTTGTAATGCCGCGGGTGGTCAACATTTTGAACATTTATTGTAATAAAATATCTTTAAACTAACATTCTTTGCTTTTATTCTACTGGGAACCCATCTACCTGTGTGTATTTCCTTCTTGCTCACTCTTGGAACCGAAGTAAATAATAGTAGTAACATAACAGTTTCTAAGATAAGAAAGGGTCCGACAGTTACCGTTAGTAGGTAGGCACTTCGTAAAAATTGGGTTGTTGAGTAAAAATATTATCAAAATTTTTTTTTTTCAAATTAATGTGTAAGTATTATACCTTTTTAAAAAGAGGAATAAACGCGTCAAAATTTGACGTCACTTGCCATACTATTTTGGTACATTTTTTTTACGCTACAGTCGGTCAAAATTGCGAAATTCAATAGTTTTCCATATCACCTTTAGTTAAAATAATATTTTATTTTAAAATGGTACAATAAGTACTTTATTTTTACATTCTATTTAGACACAGCAATACCCTAGATTACAAAACCTCCAAGAAATATCGAAATTATCAGCATTAGCAGTCACAGCATTCAAAAGTATGTCACAGGGTGCTCATTTCCCCTTTTTTTTTTTGAAATCAATATAATTCTGTAAGTACATGGGGTGGATTTTTTAAAGTATTTTTCTGAGTACTGTTAGAACTTGGGGCATCGTGGGAATCCAGTTGGACGCCAGGTTCTTGGACACCCTGTATATGGATAACAATACCTACTTCGTGAAAGAGAAGACAGATCTGTATGTTGTTGACTGTGAGATGGCAACATGTGACTGTCCGTATGGTGCTGGGGGCCGATTTTGTAAACATCTCTGCGCTGTAGAAAGAAAATATGGGACTGCACTTACCACATCGTTATATTTGAATGACTGTGATCGTCAACAATTTGCAAAATTCGCTCTGGGTGACCAGTTTTCACCGTCATTCTTTTAAAATATT